GGGTGGGCGCCGCCAGTGTTATGAGCACCTCCAACCAGGCAAGGCTTGAGCTCCTGAGGCTCCTGACAGGAATGGCAGGCTCAGTCTGGGAAACACCCCCGAAAGAGAGCCGCTGGGAAACATCTTCCCTTTCCCTCTCCTTTTGTTTTTTCCCAGAAGCAGCTTTTACCATTAGAGTCTACATACGCCACCAGGCACACTACAGGCCCTGCTAAAGCCTTGTTCATGTACTGCCTTTTTCCATCCTACAGGGTACCAAAAATATGCGAGTGTATATATGATACGTACACATATGTATGCACACACATGCAAAAAATTTCAGTTGCTCTTTGAATTCGAGTTCTTATCCCAGTTTATTTAGAAGCAGTTTACACCTTCTCCACTAACGATGCCAAAAATCTTCCCTGCAGCAGAGCAAGTATACTTCGCATTGATGCACTGGGTAAGGACTGTGCTTGGGCAGCCTACACAGAAATGCATGGGGTCTGCTTATTTGGGCAAAGCAAGCAGCGCGCAGCCCCGTTTGCATCTAGGACCTTATTGCTCTTAGTTCCATTAACAACAGCCGTCACAGAACCACTAAAGGCTGCGACCCATACAAGACTTGACACTAAGCGCGCAGGAGAGCTCCCACTGAGGTGCCTAGCAGCAGCAGCGCTTCTGTGCGCACGTTCCCAGTGCCAGCGATGGACAGCCCAGCACAGACCACTGCAAGCTATGGTTCAGAAACATCAGGTCATACTTCTACTCAAACACACCCCAAAGTAACTTTGGAAAGGGAATTGGTGAGGATGTATTTTTATTATCATACTGCTCTACCATCTCATTACAGTTGTAGGTTCTTCCTCCTTTTCTCTCTTACATTGTCATGAGGAAAAAGTGGTTTCCAGTTGACACAAAAGATAAAATCCGTAAGCATGCCAAGTGAGACAAAGTATTTTTTAAAGACTGTCACTTGTACTAGTAAGAAACAAAATTCCTAGGCTGAATGCTAGCAGCTTTCTAACTTATTTCCATAGTTACCATTAGTTCCTGGTGCTTTCTAAAGGTTATCAAGAACCTTGCAGGTAATTAATCTCACTGAATATATCACAGTAAAACATCTACACATACTAACTTATAAACAGAGAAAGTAAATTATGCAACAACCTTCTGACCATAGTACTAATAAAGCTGAGCCACATTTTATCATATACCCAAAAAGGTCTATTTGCTACATTTCAGCCAACCATGGAGAACTTACCTTTCACTGTGATAACAGATCATATAAAAAAATCTAGTTATCAACAACAGCTCCAAAATAAATTAAAAAAAAAAAAAAGCACAGAAGCAACCCTTACTTGTTTCCCAAGGTCCAGAATCCAGCATTAGGGGGGGACACTTCTGAATCCTCTCTCAAAATCTGGTCCTTGGGGTTAGTTTCTCACCTGCAGTGCCCCATTTCTGATCCTTCACTTGTGAATAATGACTTGAGGATCAGACTTAAAAACTTCTCTATGTTCAAAATACGTCAAGCTTTAAACTGAAAGAAAATCTCCAAGGAGTGGTATCACCCAAGGGGCAAATTCTGCTGTGGCAATCAGTGCTTATGTATGACAGTTGTTCTAATTCTGTTCAAGTCAGCAGTTTAAACTGCTTTGTCCTGTAAATTACAGCAGTCACAAATTATTCTTGCATGAAAAATGGTTATCCACGTGGACTTTGCTGGGGAAATAAAACAAACACAGCAGAATTTTTCCCTTGTTCTGCTGTTATTCCCACAGCCTCGCACCTGCAGCCTGGTGCTGTTCAGCAG